AAAGCTGTGAATGACAGAAGAGAAGACAAGAAAAAAAAAAACCTCGAGACGAAACAGAATGAAAGAAATAGAAGGGAGGCGATAAAGCTGTGACAGCGGCTGCCATGGTGGTTGTCATGGCGACGGCCGTGGAGAGCAGGTACAGCACAGTCTCCTGGGAATGAGCAGTGCACGCCTCCCTCCCCCACCGTCATTCTCTCGACATCCCTCCATCCTGGATCCATCTCCATCGTTCTGACCCCTCCATACTCCCTATCTTCTTTCCTTCCCTTCCTCCATCACTCCTTCCCTTGCCTCCCACTCCTGGCCCCTTTCCTTCCTTCACTTTTTGTGCTCTTTCAACCACTCTGTGCTCAATCTGCTCACTCTTTTCCCCCCTGCTATAACATCCCCATCTCACCATTATCCTGACTCTTTTTCCATCCTCACCTCCATTTTATTTCCTGCCCTCCCTCCTTCTTTCTAATTATCTTATGGCCTGTACACCTCCTTTTTTCCATTGCTCTCCTCCCCCCTCTTGTCTCTATATTCATCTCCAGAGAATATGTATGTGAGTGTGTCTGCACAGTGCTGCCCAATTACTGCCAAGGAGAGTCAGTGTGTTTAGTATCTACAGGAGCTGTGTTTCTAGCCTGTCCTGACCTACCTAAAACACCTCTAGTGTTTTTCGTCTCCCTCTGACTCACTGAATCAACAAAACGGCTGCACGCAATAATTCACTAGCATTGCGAGTATGTGTGTGTTTCTGAATGGAATGTGTGTAAGATAATCAAGAGTTTAATTTTGCATCGGTGCATCTATGTAAGCAAGAGTCTGCACCTGACTGTTACTAGTTAGGATGAGAGGAGCCAAAGTTTCCAGCTGGATGAGTTCAGGCTATAATGGAATTCTTTTTGAACACGCACCAAGGGGAAGAACAAGTGTTTCATAATGTTGTGGAGTCAAATGATCAACGAAAAACAGGTACTTTCCCAACTGTGACTGGCTGTGTGACCAGAGATGACATAGTTGATAAAGTACAACAATGTGGCACCTCAGCCAGGGTGTAGGTGCTGGTTCACAGTGCGGATCACTATAAAAATATCAGTGCTTCAGCTGCAGAATTTTGGACCATCTGCAGAAGAGCTACGTTAGCTGAGGCAGGAGTTTAATGAATTATAATCATCTAGTGGTGTCGACACAAAAGCGCCATCATTTCTCAGCAGTTCCAAGTCCAATACACATCTGAATTGCCTTTCTTTGCTACCATGAGCTCACAGCAATTATCCATTAGGAGCAACAGTCAATGCTCTGTGGACGTTTTCACCCTGAGTTTCTCCTCTCAGGCCATATGCGGGCTGACCTCTGGAGCTCTAGTCAGCCTGACAGGAAGTGCTGCAGACACTATTTGTGGCTGAAAAACATCACCGTTTTTTTTTTTTGTTGAACTACTATTGTCTTGTCTACAAACATTATCATAATGTGTTAATTGAAAGATTTAAAGTGGTTCATCTATAATGTTTTTTTCTGTTTTGCTTGAAGACACCCAACTCCTAGTCTAGTCTGCACTTCTGAAACTAAACCTACATGTTTGACTGAAAAAAGCATGATTGTACAAGTTTCTTATTATAAACAAATGTACAAAAACTGAGACAAGACAAATGTGACATCCGAGTCTCAGTCCGCTGCAGGGTCTTCTGAGCTCTTGAGGCCAATAATAAGGGGTCCCACCTGATCCTCAGTGAGACTGTATTCTGTACAGGACTGGGCTTTTAGTTTTTACTGAGTGAAACTCCAGTTCTAAATTCTGAGCTTCTGTTGTTCTCCCAGTACAAAGGGAAAATTAAAGGTACTGTGAAAGCAGGTTCCTTTGCTGCTATCAGTCTAATAGTAAACAGGAAATTCCTTTCCTACTGAGCTGAATCAACTTTAAACTTTCTGCATGGGAAAGAAAAACTAACTTCACTCAAATGCAACACATCTGCCAAACCAGTCCTTCCCCGATGTGATAAGAAATTGCTTTCAGATATGGGCAAGCAGCATGTTCACATCTAACACACACACACACACACACACACACACAACCGGAGGAATTCACGGAGAGGAACGTGGGGCAAGATAATGTTCTCACTGATGGCTATCATTATTCTCTCTCTGTGTCCACGCTCACAACCAGACAGCAGCCTTCTGGAAGTGGCTGCGGATATGAACCGTGATCCTTTTCATTTCCTCTATCCACTGGAAGGTGATCCCCACCTGTCCTTTCACACACACCTGAAATACCTCCTCACCCCAGGAGTGATTTCTACCCACCAGCTTGTGTGTGAGGGGACTTTGTCCTCCAGCAGAGTGAGAAGGACCCACTTCCTGTGTCAAATTGCCTCTCACATTCTACACTGTCCCTCAATCCGCCTCGCTCAGGCTATTTTCTCCTCTTTCTTGCTCCTTCTCTCTTTCCTCATCTCTCTATGGGGGACTTTGTCTGCTATCAGAGGCACAAAACACTGATTCATTCCACGAGTTAAACTTGATCCTCAAAAACACAATGCTTTTCCGCCACACACACACACAAACACACTTTTCAAGGAGTGAGGGATGGTGAGAACAAGTTTTTGGCAGTGCAGATTCACTATTTTTGAGCCCACACACAGACAGATGGACAGTCATTGCTTTCATGAGTGCAGATGGATGTGCACATTCACACACACACTTGCTATCTATGGGAAACAACAGATGTCTGTGGGAAAACTGGTGTGTGATGTAAAATATAGTGGCCCGGACATGATGTCACAAGTTCAATAACAGGAAATACCCACAGAGACACGACACTAGGGATCAATCGTCACACAGATACAAGTCACTTGTTTTCAGGCCAAGAGGAATCTAAAGAAAGCTCTTGTCAGCAAATGCATGTGACTGTGTGTGTGTGTGTGTGTGTGTGTGTGTGTTCAGGGCCTGGGTTGCTTGAGGTGAGTCTTGCAATTATTGGACTGATGACGTGTGCCTGTGTTACTTAATCGAGCAACGCCTGCATCCATCTGCGCGATCCTAACACAATATATATTTAAAGATATGTGTGTGTATATGTGTCACACCTGTCTGTCTGTACACTTAAAGACAGATTAAATCAGATGGAGGCCGGGAGTCTTTGGCAAAGATCGCAACCGACTGACCCAGTAATAATCAGCGTGTGTAGTTTTGAAAAGCCCTGACTAATCCTGAGCAGTATCACAGCAGAATCAGCACCCCAAGATGTTGACAACACAAAACTGTGTCCAGGCAAAGAAATAAAAGCAAATGAGTCAACTGCCCCACAGTAAAAAAAAGTCAGGTTCACTGCACATCAGCTAGTTTTAGTAACTTTTTAGTAGCTTGATTATTTAAAAATGATTTGGGAGTTTGCACCACACAAACAGAGTATTCGCTAAGGCGATGGCTGCATTTTTAGATAATACTGTGGTAGATTCTTGGGTCCAAATATGGTTTAATGGGCTTTTTGGTTTATACTGCACTGGCATGGTACAGTATTTCTAATCAAAGCAAGAGGCAATATAGAAACTCCTACATTTAAAAATGTGTTTTATTTTGACTTTACTTGTGCTGCGCTGAATGTTGGACACTAGAAAACTGTTTTCACGTTTATTAAGAAGGAAGGTTTCTTTGGGCTCCTTTGTTCTGAGTTTAAGATGCACGTTGGAGCAGGATGTATGATATCATGTTTGAAAGCCAATTCTGGTCCGATGTGCAACTTACAAAAAGGACTGGGCGAAACACACTCTGAGAAATAGTCTTTACAGTGAAACAGGAAATACCTTGTGTGTAAAAATAGTCTGATATACAGCATGTCTGGAGGGGACCTGGACTGCAACAGGGTATAGACACATTGCACAGACTGGTGGCTGTGAGGAGGGGCCCAACAGCTAATGTCTGACCCAGGTTAATCTGGCCATGAATGATAAAAATAAAAAAGACAAAACATCATGCACTATTATAAAGACTGCTATAAACTCACTCCACTCCGGTGACACACGGGGGATATTTAAACAATGTTTTCTTCTTCATTTTGCTCATTTTTGACGCTAGCTTCCTTTTCTCTCAATGATGAGCTTGCACCTTCCTCTTCCTCCTCATGGGATAAATATGGATTCTAACGGAAGGTGTGGGCGTGCTATGAGGGGCGCGTGAAGCTCTGTGTGGACGGTTCCGGAGAGGAGGTGTGTGGAGAGAGGTGGAGGGGCTCGCGCATTCCTAATCTGCTTCCCTCCTCGCGATTCCCGATGACATCATTCCATCCAAGCAATCGTTCGTGCACCGCATCGCCGTTAACTTCCCCGTTACCCCACCCACTTTTGCCATAAACACAAACTGCCGCACTTGCACGACGGGAGGATGCCCCCCGGTCAGACTCTGGCACCCGGGGGCAAATACCTGCCGATGATACTGGTTGGAGATCCGATATCCAGTCATCTCTTCACCACCACCACCACCACCACACACACACACATCCGACATCGCGACTACCCGGTAATAAAGTCGTTAAAACGCAGTATGACTGGAGCCCCCCAGATTAGGATGTGAGCTGGTGACACAGACACCACATACCGAGGTTCCGCACGAAAACCAGTAATCAAGCTCAATTAGAGATTACCCGCTAATTACCGACACACACATACGAGTAGCCTGCGCGCACAAACACCTCCTGACTTGAGGGACACAGGCCACAATCAACCACGATACTGAAACACAAAGGCTGGAGTGTGTGTGTCTGTGCGTAAAGGCGGGGGGTGGGGTGCACGGGGGTCGCCAGTCTCCCCCAACGGGAGTCACGGACGACCACTAAGGGCTGATATCTAGGTCGAGTGGAGGATTTCCTACCCACTACCGACCATCACTGTCTCAATGATAGCGCACCGCTCGCAAACGCACACGTGCGCGCGCGCACGCGCATGCAACAGAAATTCCCTGGCTCCTGTGTGCACAAGAGCTCCCAGGTTAACAAAGGATATGAGGCTGGTGCTTACCCTGGCGGCGTGAGCAAGCAGTGCCGTGAGCGTCAACAGCCAAGGCAGCTTCATGGTCGAGGTGCGCGGACACAGCCTCCCGGTGCCGCCGCCGCTGCTGCCTTCACGGGGTTTCCAGGAGGTGGGGGAACAAAAGGTGCTGCTGCTGCTGCTTGCTCTCGGTGTCTCGGTAGTCTATCCAACTTCAGAGCGCGCCGTCCGTCCGCGCGACCATCCGCCCTCTTGGTAGGGCTTTTTAATCCAAGGCTTTACGCGCTGTACTACCGGTCCTTCCTTAGGATCTTTTCTCCTTCTTCTCTCTTCCTCTGAGTTTTTGTGCTCAAGACCTGATAGATTACTACCGGGAGACGCCAGAATCCCGTTTCCCTCTCTCTCCTTTTCTCTAAACACCACCACGCTTTCTCTCTCTCTCTCTCTCTCTCTCCTCCCCCTCTTCGTTGAGGGCAGGATGTTCCGTATGGCGACGCTGCTTGGCCGGGAGTCTGGCAAAAGGAAGGGAGTATGTGTAAAGGGGGGGGGGTATGTCCGTGAGCCAGGGCGAGGATGCCCCCTGCAGCTCGCATAGACACCCGCACTCCTTTAAATACGCATGCATACGTAGCTTTGGCCTATATACACACACACACTACACGTGCAGGAGGCAGCTTGGACGCGGCTCTCACCTCAGGGCATTGATGGCTGCTGTGCCTTTGGTTTAACGACACTGTCGGGTTACACACCTTTACCGGTTCGGCCAGTTCAGCTAACACATTGCAACGGTTTAAACTGAGCATGACAGTTATTCTTGACGTTGGAAACATTAACTGGGCAAGAAGACCGTGACTCGTGGTCCACTCATTGTCTAGATCTGTGGATGTTTTCAGGAAGACAAGATGCTGCTGACACATCTCAGAGGATCCACAAAGCAACTGGTCCTCACAGAATCATCCTATTTGTTCATTATTACTTGTAAGTGAATGATATAGCTACAACACTAAACACGATTGGCTGAGATAGTTGCCAATTGTCATCTAAAGCCAGGTGATCTATATATTCAAAATCTTTGATAAGATTCAGACATTTTGTGTGCTGCTGTTTCATAAAACCATTGCCAAGTTAACCCTTTAGTGCCTCTCTGTGACCCCACAGTCTGTAAGAAATTTTGACAAAGGGTCCATTTGTAAGATAGCAGGTGTAAAAATGCAAAGCTAACCTTGAGGTTTTGTAGTCACAGACAGCTATGCTTTTAATCAGATTACCACACAACAACTGCAGGCCCATGTAGACAGGGACCACAGGTAGCCTACCACAGCCTGAGCTCTGGCACAGAACAAGCTTCATCATGTATTCAGGCGGTATTATCTGCTCAGAGGAATCAGAGCCGTGGGATTACAGTCACCGACTTCACACCCAGCCTGACTTGTTTTTCAAAGAAACATCCTGTTTCTGCTGAGGCCCAGCATGTCCCAAAGAAAAGCTAGACAAGCAAGTACATGTTTGTTCTTGCCTTCTTAAAGAAACAATTGGAAGACACCTGTTCAACACAGCAGTGTAGCCTGATAATCTCTTGCTCAAACCTTAGGCTCATCACTCATGCCAGAAGTATAATTATCAGCGCATTAGGCTACTGTGTGCATTTACTTTTGTGGTTTCCTCAAACACCAAGCACTTTCATCTCCGCCTGGTGTGACGGCTTTCACTGTTATAACAGATATTCAGATAACTAGCCCAGGGATAGTTTTAGAGTCCTAGTAAAAACTACCTATCAGAATCCATTATTGAAGCTGTTATTGTAACTGATCGACGCTGCCGGCTGTCGTTAGAGAAGGTCATACCATGTTTAATTAGTCAGGCTTACTAATCAGTCACTTTTATGGAGAAGCATCAGGAGCGAGCTCCCCCGTCCCCTCCGAGTCATGCTGTGTAGGTGTTGTCACCGCAGACACATTCACTTGGTGTCACCGACCCTGAAACACTTTGAATCAG